CTGTACACGCTCATTACGCAGAATTCCTGGTGCAGGTCGCAAACCACACTATCATCAGCTTGAGCAGGAGCTCCACGCATGGGTATCCTTTCGAAACAAGAAGGGTTTGCGAGTAAAAGACAAATACATCCAGCTACAAGCCCTCAACATCAACCGTGCTTTGATAGAGCGTGGAAGTCCACCGAATGAGTTTCGTGCTTCTTCTGGGTGGTTGGATCGTTTCAAGGAGCGCTACAATCTTGTTTCGCGACGGCAAACGACCACCAGAACACTTCCCGATGACGCTGCAGAGACGTGCATGAAGTTCATAAAGAAAGCACACCAACTGATTGAAGAGCACGACATCCTTCCGTGCAATGTGATCAATATGGACCAGGTTCCCAGATATTTTGAAACAGAACCAAAGTCTACCATCACAACCCGTGGCTCACGAGACGTGCTTTTGCGGAAGAACGGCAGCAGTCACAAACGGTTCACTGCAACATTTTCAATCACTGGCGACGGACAGATTTTAGCGCCTCACTTACTCTTCTCCAAACTGAAAAGGAGGCCATCATGTCCACCTGGTGTCTTGGTAGACGTGAACCCCACTGGAGTGGAATGATGACATCCTTCTCAGGCATGCGCAAGACGTGATATGCAGCAGGAAGGAGACTCAATTTTATCGGTAAACCGTTTTGTATATCATTGACTCGTATGCAGCCCACGTCAAGATGTTCAAAGAGAAACTGCTCGAGCGGTACAACGTGTTCGTGTTGTTAGTACCTCCAAATCTCACAAACCTTCTACAGCCACTTGATGTTGCAGTCAATCGAAGCTTCCAAGCTTATTACCGCACGATGTATGATGGCTACATTGGAGAGGCTTTACAAGACAAACAGCTTCAAACAAAAGCCGGCAACCCCAAAGTCCCTAACTATGGCAGAAATGGGTGTTAGATTGGATTGATACCAAAACGCCGGAGGATATCAAGAAAGCATTTCAGCTTTGCGGGCTTGTAGCTAAGTCGGCGTTTAGTTTGGCCAACCTGTATCCTCCACTTCGGGAGTTGTTGAGCCCATCCATGAACATGTACGACTGGCACCAGCAATATCAGCATATTGTCGACGCGACGGATGAACGCGAGGAAGTTTGTATCTCAACACCAGGCTGGTATATCCCAGAAGACACACGGACGAGTCTGTTTTGCTGTCTTCGTCGTAGTCTCGGTGCTTCAGACTCTGACTACGTTGTATCTCTGACGGAGTATATGCAAAACCTAAATGACCTGACCGGACTGTTCGACGACGAGTACATTGCGTCGTTAAGAAGTGGTGAACTTGCGCCTGGAGAGCTCGAGCTATTTGCTGCATCTCGCATGCACGATTGCGATATTGAAGTCGTCACTCTTAACAACGAATGCAGAGTTATCTCGAAGTACACGTACACTGTAGAGTGCGCCGCCCGAGACATTTGCATAGCACGAATTGGGCCACTTTTTACCTTGAAGCTCGATGGACTCCATCTATAGATCGCCTGCTCATGTCGCTCTTCTGACTTTTAGTTTATCTCTGCATTTAAGCGCCTAGGCTGTATACATGAATAAAACGCCCACGGGCTCTCTATTTTAATTGAACGCTTAGGCGTCTAGTGCGCGGTAAAACGGTAGTGTTCGTCAAAGAGACTGGAAATAGCCAATAACCAGGTAGGGGTCAGCAATGGAAAGCCAGCTCTCGGAAGTTGAAATGTCCATACGATAATATCTCTAAAATGCTTTCTTTTTTAAAAGAGTGGCTGCGTGGGCTCTTCATGACAGCCTCTTCCGGACAACGCGATCTCTTCTCATGGCCGTTTGCTGACGCTTATTCGCAACAAGGCAAAACTTAAAACTGCATATTTAATCATCAGTTTTCATACGGCGACGATGGCGTGCGACAGGGACGCATTCGTCTCGTTTGGTGGTGCTGCTGCTGTTTGACAGGAGCCATCGTCGCGAACTTCGCTTTTTATGTGTATTTTAAAGTAGGTCAAAAGCTCTGGTTGGGCAAGACAAGAAATACATAGTGACGCATGTATTTTTTGTGTATAGTCTATGAACCATCGCTTAGCCAATCAAATTGCAAAGTGATCGCTTAACACGCATGCGTCGAAAAATTGATCCGGTTGGGAGCGGGCCTTAACGCCGTCAATTGCTTACCATGGGCGACAGGCAAAAATCGTGGCACCTCCGTAGACCGTAATTGAATGCAGCATCCCAAAAAAGAACGGCAAACCGAGTCGGTAATATTCGCGCGAAGTGTTTATCGACCAAGACCTGTACTATGTAATCTCCTGTCATATTCTCTGAACAGTTCATATCGCTTTTGATCGATTTTCAAGTAGAGCTGCGCGCTCCACTTGAGCCAGTCACGCGAACAGCCTTCTCAAAATTTCTTGATCTTGACCGTCGTCAACTCTACGGCAGTGCTAAGGGTTGCCGCGGCTACTTGGTACGATACGCACTCGTTCTTGTCGTTGCGTCCAATGCATGTATTGCTTGGCGAATTAAAGCATTTTGGGGCTAAACGTACTTCATTTTGAAGCACTACCAGGAAAAATTGTCAGTACAAGCGGAACAGTTAGTGGGTCTGTTGTCTGTGTAGATGCCACACGTACGAATTTCCTGACCATAATGTCGAAACCCTGGAGTGGTTGATTGCATAAAACATCCTCGAATTTGTATGCGAAAACTATCCCGATCCCAAAAATAAAAAGCTTCTCAATTGCCGAATTTTTCTGATCTTTCAGCCGTGTTAGCATTTTTTATGTACACAACGTCAATAAAGCTATATTTTCTGGCGGAGTCGATCAAGTGGACAATTTAATTGCTAGCGTAGTATGAAGTGATTCCAACTGAGCGAAGCTTACGTTCAAAAACCTTTTGTTTATCATGACTCAACGAGATTGGGCTACGAACCATTGTTGGAGGTTGCTGGCAAAAGTGTCGCTTTGTCAATTGATGGCCAAATGCCTAATTTCCACGTGGCCAAAACAGTTATTGGAGAAATGGCATAATATTGATCAGAAGTGAATTGTTTTATAGTCAATAAGCAAAAAAATAGTTTTTGCCGTTACTATCATATTACATATATATATATCGTACACTTTGCTCCCGCAAAACCTTTTAAGTATTATTAAACTCGTTACTTCCGTTTGTCTTTTAATTAACCCAATTAACGCGGGATTCTGTATTCGACAGATTAAGTGATATTGCAGGTGTTAATATTCCAAGAGCTTATACGCGGGGGGAAATGACGTAAATTCCCCGCATATACAGTTTTGTATGGCTTTGGGTGGGGGTTATCACTGAGGATCAGCGCTGGTGAGATAGACGGGTATTTTCAGGCATCCATAGAAAATACAGTATAAGCGGTGAAGAGGTATAGAAATTCAGTTCCCAACCATTTTATTCCCTGCCACTCATTTTTAAAATGATGGACGTGCTGGACGGTGTGGATACGAATAAGTTCAAGAAGCTGTGGCGTCAGCTCGTAAAGGACGGCTGGAAGGCAAGGCCGCCGACGGGGCTGAACGTCGGGCACACGTACGTAAAGCCTGGTGTGAAGGGCAAGCTTCGCAAGGATCGCATCAATGCGGACTATTTTTGTGGTACGATGATCGGTATATCCTATTGGTAAATGTTTGTACTAAATGTGCATGATTTCTAGGGACGAAATACCGATGGCAGTACGCATGTCGTTCCGGTTTAGTAGAACTAGCCGTCTACGAGCTTCCAGTACCCGTTGGACGGCCGCCAATGGGGAAACAAGCGGCGTACACAGCAGCGCAGCGGCAAATACCGACGGCAGCGCCAGAACGCGACGAGCCTAGGTGGTCAATCTGGCGGTGTTACTCCTGCGGCTGCAGCACAAGGGGCCGACGGTGTTACTCCTGCGACTGCAGCACAAGAGTCTGACGTGTGTTATTCCTGTGGCTACAGAATAAGGTGGTGGGTCTGGCGGTGTTACTCCTGTGGTTACAGAGCAAGGTGGTGGGCATGGCGGTGTTACTCCTGTGGCTACAGAACAATGTCATCGGTCTGATCACAGTTCTCCGTCTGGTACAGAACAAGCTAGACGACCAGATCACAGTAACAGTTCTCGTACGGAAGCGATCGCTTCGGATGATGATTCCATAACGGATAACTTCATGGATGCTATGCGTGTGGAGAATCTATTCCCCCCTCCTGCCCTGGACGATATCAACGTTGGGAGCGAAACCTTCTCAGTTAGTGATGATTCAGACGATGAAGATTCTGCTTTCTGCGACTTTGATTCTGATCTGGAGGAATACATGGACGAAGGCGAATCTGATTCCGACTTTGAGACGAAGGTGAAGCTTTTCAGCAAGACGACGACGAAATGAAAGGGCTCGAGTGGGAAGTCTTCGATCAAGATCATTGCGGTACGTCTGTCGTCTACAGAATACGAGTTTCCATAGACTAACTTATTCTGAATACTACCGCCAACTATTTCTCGCCTTCATAGATATGGCACTCGTCAATGGCTTCACTCTTCACAGGATGGCAATGGAGCGGAAAGGCAAGCGTGCGCCCAAGCACGCGGAGTACATGCGGCAGCTTCACGTGGAGTTACTTGCAGTTACAGCTATAAGCTTCCGTACCAACCGACACGCAGAAGATTTGGCGAGTGTGCGACCGGAAATCTTGACCACGTGCTGCGCAGCACTGATGAACTATACAAGGCTAAATCCTGCAAGAGCAAAGGGAAGAGCAAAAGCCGACAGCATCTCTGCAAGGTATGCTTGGCGCTGAGCCCACCCAAGGTGAAAAGCTTCGAGAGCAGCTTCTACTGTCGTGAATGCTCGGAGGCTCTTGAAGGATATATTCCTTTGTGTAACACGGTCGGCGCTCGGAGACGGGGAATACATTGACGTGCAGCCAAATATGGCACGGATCGTGGGGTAGTGGGGCTGCTACTCCGGCACATCTGCGGGGGCGAACTCGCCTACGGAAGCGAAAGCTGGAGGAGCTTAGTGAGGAAGACAGCGATAACGAGTAGCATCTGCACTAATAGCAAACCTGGTGTGGTGTTGAAAGAATGAGGTCTGACACACGCCGACTTCTTCCTCTCTCCTTGCGCTCACCAAATTTCGACCGGTTCCATCCTACTACTTCCTGCTAAGTCTAGAACTGGTCGAAAGTGAGCGCGCTTCATCACCTCGTGCTCACCACCGCTAAAACCACGGCGACGCCGCGACGCATTTGGAGAACTTTGATCACTTTGAGCAGGAAATCAGCACAGAGAGGGTTGCGCATCGCGCCAGATGCAAACTTGCCCGATTGCGAGCGTAAGATTTTCCACGTGGTGGATACATTGTAGATACTTTGTTCACATACGCAGCATTTTTGCGTCTGTTCGCAACGTCTATCACTTCAAGGGCTTAAAACAGATAAATTGTTGCGCTCTTCCCACCATAGTTTAACCAAGTAATTCCCTTGTTCTGTCTAATACAGAATATTTCCCCGCGTTAATTGGGTTAACAGTTAGAATTGGTTGAAACAAAATACGACCAGCGAAATACTGAAGTTGCGAGTATTGGGACAGTACGTATATAATGGCCACGCATTACACTTATGTTAACACGAGGACTACTCCGACGCCTTCTGGCACTTGCTCATTGTACCCGATTCCAGTACGCACTTGAGGTCCGCACCGTTGCAAGCTACCGCCCACGGGCCGTATACACCCTTGCCTCCGCACTGGTCGCCGAGTCCAGGCTTCTTCTTCATGCAGTATCCAATGTGCTTGTCCGATTTCTGGCAGAACGTCTCACTGTCGCACTTAACTGCCTTGTTCTCCCACTCGCACTGCTGGCCCGCACTCGCCAACTCGGTCAGGATGTGCACGCGCAGATGTGTTGACGCGTCGACGACTTGAATGGCGATTCCCAGTAGGGAAGTGACGAAAAGCGAGAGCTTCATGGAGTATCGAGATTCTTGTGAGCTCTTGAGAGGAGATTCGCGAATGAAGGCTGCAAAGGCGGTTTGAAATAATGCGAAGCCATTGGAATCCTATTAGGATCGAGCCCCAGCGGTCGCATTGACTAGATCGCCCTGAGTTGGATCTTACTTGGAGGGTCACGCACTTCAACGGCATGAACGGTTCACTTGAAGAACGGATATCTGCAATGCGGAAAATCTTTCACTTCCGCATGGTGTCGAATATGTAAAAAGCTGCCAAGTTGGCAGCACGTACAAACGATATCAGTACTAGCAAGAACATCGTACTCTATGCGCAGCGTTAATCTTAGCTTAACGAGGGTATTGCGTTTGCTGAGATAGCCACTTTAGTTCCGCCAGCAACACTAAAACTTGCTTGATACTCGATTAGTAGCGCAAGTTAAGAAAAAAAAGTATGTTATCTGTATTTCCACTGCAAAAAAACTTTGTGGTGCTTCTTGGTGAGAAGCTGTTTTTAATATTCACTGTCAGTACGACATCGAAGCACAGCTATTGCAGCTCTTGGTAGACGTGTCAGCATATTACAGCTTACCGATGTTCGGGCGAGTGGTTGAAGCGCTCAAAACAAGGATTTTCAGGATTAACCTTGACCTCCAGTGCATTTCGTGCGTTGGTCGAAGACAACTCTATTACAGGCGCATTCATGTTACACGTGATATTCCTAACGTCACTGAACAATGCTGCCCAAAATTAAATTTAAACTTAACAGTATTATCGCGCCACCACCCTCATAGACCCACGTTCCTGCAGACCAACGGCAAACGCCGCACGAGAAGGAAACGTACATTACGTACCAAGTTATGGGTAGCACGCTGGATAACCTCAATGGGGGAGCTTACTCTCGAGTACAAAAAGGATGATCTCCGAGTACACACACAAAAAGGATGACTTGCGAGTACAATTTGGGAAAAAGGTGGATTGGCGAGTATGGCATCATAAAAGGTGGATCACCGAGTACATTCGCAAGAACCGACAAGTTTGGTCAGTGTCACCGGAGACTATGGGATGACTCGCATACCTAGTGCGTGACTGTAGGCGACAGCAGCTGCGAGCTGTTCCACGTTCATAAGCTCCACTTTTCCGGTTGAGAACTTGACCTTCCACTGATAGCGACCGCCATTTCGAGCCAACGGTCGACATGTCTAGGCACGTGCTCACGTAGCACTTGCCCCCTGTTCTTCACACTAAACTCCTTGGTCACGTGCCAGTGTGTTGGCGCGGCGGTGCTTTCCATGAAAAGCTGCTCCAGGTGCGAGACACCGAAGAACCGCGCGTCGCTTTTGTTGAACCGCGTGCGGGCAAGCGCGCCGCGGGATTTGAACTGACCTCCCGGGCGTCGTCGAGCTGGCAGCACACTCAACAACGCGTCGATGCTGATCTTCTCGAGGAGCGCCATCGTCGCGACAATGTGCTCGCACATCCATCCTGACTGGCGTGACTCTGAGCAATCGCACACATAGCACTGACGCACCATTCGGATCTAGAGTAAGAACAGTCAGAACCGTCGCTGCCATGTAGGATTGAGATGAGATCAAGTACGTACATCGTCTGCACTCCATTTTGGAGACACCTCGAACGGGTCATGCTCGCTGTTGAGTACTTGAACGCGGTAGAGTGACTGGTAGAGCAGTTGGGCCTCCGAAGCGCGTCCTCGTGGGATTGATGCACCGACAGTCGGGTAAAGCTGGGCTCGTCGGCTGGAGGCGGAGAACCCGCGCCATCGTCGATGACTGCGAACGCCTCCGACATGGCGACTTTGAGAGTACAACTGAACACCAAGGCAGCAACAGGAAACCCACTACTCGCCCCAACAAGCCTCTACCAACCACCGGCAGCCTCTACCAGCCACCGGTAGTTACAGCCAACCATCGCTAGCCACAGCCAGCCACCAGCAGTCACAGGCAGCCATTGGTTGCGACAGGCATCAACTGGGGTGCACCACATATCCGTAAATAGCGTTTCCTAGTGAGCCATAAATAGTGTTCTCCGTGTTATCGAGAACTCGCAACTCATCCTTTTCGAGCCATGGACTCGCCAATCCACCCTTTTTCCCATTTGTACTCGCAAACCATCCTTTTTGAGCATGTACTCGAAGATCATCCTTTTTGTACTCCGATATAATCCGCACCCAACCTCAATGCGTCACCCACCGAGTGTTCTGCAGAGCGCATCCAGATTCACAGTCACATGACACAAAGTAACTTAGTACCTATCATCGATACATGCGTTCTAGCAAACGCCCTAGAGACTGCGCTTGGAGTTTAAAGCACTATGAGTCGATAAGAAGACGGTCTGACTGAATCTGTCGCCCCCCCAATTGATTAAATGCACAAAACCCGTTTCGCAAGCGCTGTTCTTCGATCGCCAAGCCCAAAACGAATTGTTGTTGATTCGTACATGTAGTACTACGCATACAAGTCAGACAGCTAGATGTTGGTTTGAAGAAAAAAAAAACAGTGCCTACTGCAACTCCTGCACTTGACTAACGTTTATTTTCATGTGTTGCCACAAGTAGGTGTCCAACTCACCTCCTCACGAATGCCCCCTGTGTACGGTGGCCCTTCGAACTCCGCATACGTCATAGTAAGGAAAAATGATCTAGTGTCGCTGAGACCGTTTCCATTGCATGTTTTAACGGCAACACAGGGGAGAGAGGCGTTCGACAAGGCCTTGGCGAGTGTCAATTAATCAATTCCCGTCTTGCCATCTCGCCACGCTGCACTGGAAATAATTCCAAGCTGGCTGATCAGCCCCACCGACAAAAACAGCCGCCTACGCGTCTCGGCAACACTGTCAGTATCCGGATTCGAAGCAAAGAGTCTACGGATGAACAGCAAGCAGTCAACTGCTGGCAGCCTATTGTCGTGATTCCTCATTGCTACTTTGCTTGGTGCCACAATGGTGATCTAACCAGTGCCGTACAGACAACGACGGTGAAATCCGCCCGGTGTCTGAACACTATCCTTCATATAAAATAAAAAAATTACGCGCGACAAGAATACCCGCCCAGTTATTTGATTGATTGAAAGTGGCAGTTTCAGGTCAAAGTCTGAACACAAAGTACAAAAACGATTCCAAAATGTACAGAACCGATGCAGGAATCAACACATCCTGGGTTGATTGTACAAAAACGCCCAAATACGGCATACGGATTGGCTGATACTGGTTTCATTAGTGGGAAAACCATGTTTGGACTCGGGCGTGTTTCAAAGGTATGGCGGATTTCACCGTCGTTGTCTGTAGTTCCAGGCCCTTAATAAATTCAGTCATGTTATTACGAAATCTTATATCGGCCTCAACACCGTTGTTGATGGCACAAAGTCGTGCCATCAACATGCTTATTTTTGTATGAAGAGACCAGCCGGTGCGTGTGAACAATCAATGCTGATGGTACGCAACGGAGCGAAAACGTATCATACCGTTTCGCTTGGCGGTTGCCGATATATTCGCACAGCATTTCTTTGGAGACTCCCGCCTATTATAGCGGCAGAAAATGATGGGGCTAGCTAATCCGAAATAAATTATTATCTTTGGATAATCGGCGATAACTTCACCAAAATAGCCTTGAATTAAGTGCAAAGGGCGCGGATAGAAAGCTGAGGTTTCGTAGTTCCTTCTTCCATAAATTAAGACTCTTCATCTCTTTCATTTCAGGATGCGCAGTGCAACGCAGACACCAGCTTAGTCAAGGCGATAAAACCCTAGTTTGCAATGCATATGGTTATTTCGTCGCCGAGGCCAAAGCAGGCAGAAGTGGAGGGTGGGACTCGCGCGATCGAACTAAAGAGGCGACGCGCTTTGGGAAAAGCACAGTTTTTCGGGTGCTCTGGGCATGGAACCTCGACCCAGACACCAATTTCGCCGAGGTGGGCTTGTCGTTTTGGCCCATGTAGGGTTAAAACTGCTCTGTTGTGATATCATATGAAAATCTTACAATTTTATGCTTTCGCTAGTAGAATGTACCATCCACAAGAAGCTCATGAGGAAGATGGTGGGTAATCACTATTTAAATATATACAAATCCTTCTTTTTAAATTT